GTATATATATAGCAGATTTTCAAATCCCATTCGTCATCAATACTTCACATGAGTCTAAATTTTACCATACAATTTTTCACAAATACTGACAATTCCAACACACCACTAACTTGCACCCATTTGAAAGCGCATAAATTAAACAATCTACTATTTTGTTCAATTATACATAATCTTGATAACCAACGTGCCATAAGTTGAACTCCACCTAAGCTTATATTTCACCACGCATATCTCCCAAATACTGATAAATTCGTCCCACACTACCATATATGTTACATTGATGGTTTCAATAAATACGAACCATACCCTACTTGAAAATATATCTTTTGGTAACCTCCGTAAAAACACTGCATGCATATAATTACTTCCACGTAATTTTTACTAGAATATGAACCGCGCATTTACGCGAGATTTTGTTATACAATTTATTCAATTTAATCATTATTTATTTTTAGTATTTATGTTATGATAAAAACAACAAAGTTTTTGTAGATATAAAATAATATTTGATTTAAAATAAAATAATTTTAATGCTGCATGAAAATATCAAAGTTACCATTTAAAATTTATTTGTTTAAAACTTTGTTACTTACATATATATATTGCCATTAGATAAATCATGTTATTTACATATCTAAATAACCGACTACGTATTTGATGATAAAATATTTATCAATCATTTTTTAATTTATCTTTATAGTATGATTTATCAATCATAGGTGGTTTCCATATGTCTTCACAATGTCTATTTGTTATTCTCTTATACTTTGCATTTCACCATGTTTTAGTATTGTGGCATATGGAAGATATGACCAACATCTTGTTTGCTTGTTGTTTACAGTCTTTTCAATCGCGGAATGAGAAAGCTTATCTCTTCATCAGTAAGGTAGGTATAAGTTTTATTCTTCAAGTTTGATTTAGGTTTTTGCTATCCAGATTTGAAGAAACTCGTAAATCTTATTGAAATTGCTTTTTAATGGATATAAATAGTTTTATGCATTTTTTTGTTCAGTTATCTTAGTCTCGTAAGCTTATGTATATTTTGGTTTTTTTTCATCATAAAAAAATAATTGAGATTTTAGGATACTATTTTTTAAACGTTGGTCTTATTAACGTGTGAATGAGTGTAAGATTTTGTTTTTATTAAACTAAAAATTTGTTAATAAGAAAAAGCCTTTCATATTTCATAGAATATATAACTTTTAAAAATAATATAGAGAATATTTGTTTTTTCTTAACATTTTATTATGATAGTTGATTTTTACTAATTGTTTCAATTATGAAATTCATAAACACATTTTAGTTTTCTTTATACAAAAAATTCTTTATATGTGTAATATATATATTTTGGTAGAACAAATTCATATTATCATTACTAATAAAATCATGTATAGTTTTGTATTTATTAATTTTTATATCTACAATCAATA